CTTTTTTTCTGCGATAAACGGTCTCTCCTTTTTTTAGTTGTACAGTTTTTAAACATACTGGTACACCTCTATTTATACGAATAGTGCCACATATTCTAATTTTATATTTCAATAAAATCTGGCTATTTTCCACACTATTATAATAATTATCCATGTGTCGAAATATGGTGTCATAAGATTCAGGATGGTATCTCTTAGTTTTAATCCTTTTGCGCAATATATTTCTAAATTGCATATATAACCAGAAGTTGCCTTGCAAATCATTCGAACCAGAATACCGTATTTGGTAATTTTCGAGGAATTGTAAACTTTAAAACATAATCTATCTCTCCAAGGTATAATACTTTCATCATGGGAAAGTTGTTCAGGCTTATAAATGTTTAAAAATTTTGGTTTAAAATAATTTATAATTGATAAGATTTTAAATAGTCTGTCTGAATTATTTGTAATATTGTCATTGTTTGTGAAATGTGATGATATTTGCCTAAATCTATTGCGGCTCATTACCTTGAAAAAAATTGGTGTTTCTATTGTCGAGTCAGTAGACCAATACTCATCTCTGGTATCCTTCTGCACCTTTCCCATTAAAAGGATTAAACGTAGCATTTTTTTAATCTCGGACTTTGATACATCTTCCCATTTTCGTGTATTTTTCTGCTTTTTAAACTTATCTACATTTTGCGCATGATAACGGTTAGTTTCAGCTTGCAAAAGTTCAAAAAATCTTCTCCAATAAATAAACTTAAAACTTCATTTAAATTTTCTGCATTATTTACTTGTGCAGTAACATGAGCGTTACCAATAAATTGCTCAATAAACGGCGCATCATCCACTTCAGACCCATCGATAGTATTTTGGTCCTCATCATTGTCACTTAGGCCAGATTCTGATTCACTGAAACTAATAACAGGTCTTGGAAACGTCCTACGTTTATTTCCAATAATAGATTCATCACTTGAACTATTGCCGTCGTCACTATCATTTTCTATATACTCATTTTCACTAGAAATATCTGACAAATTGTCGGCAATGATTTCCTCATCTGAATCCATATTGTTTAAATAAGGGTAAAAAACTGAAATTATCTAGGTAGGTAAAATAAAACGCAATATGTAACGACTAACAGGAAAGCTCACAAAGTGCTGGTTAGTTTCTTTATTTACTAACTTTTCTAATATGGATAAAAAAGTTTTTCCCTACGAAATTAAAATAAATAAACTACGTGCTTGTAGAAAAATGTTTAGTAGATAAGAGATAAATATCTTGGCGTACATATTCATAGGTCGCCGGTATTTAAGCATAGTGCGCAAAACCATATTTATATGTCTCCGGCAGTTTAACAACAGTAAGGAAAAAACATATTTTTATGTCTAGGGACCGTAATGTGTTAAGAGGAATTTTATCACTTGAATATTTTCTCGGCTCGAAGCCTAGTGGAAATCGTAGTTACTATGTTTTGTCCTTCCATTTCACAGTTAACCACACTTATTATATATCACTCGCAAGTTCTTTTCGTCAGCCAAATTTCTGTATATAAAACATTGAAAACTAATTGTATTTGAGAAGAGAAAAAAACGAAATAGCATTTACTTCTATGTGAGATGTGAGATCTATTATTTATAGCTGCAATCGGTTAGTTTTTTGTTTTACGCCACTCGACTAAATATCCCATCTGATAGACGGCTTGTCCACGTAACTCCGCTGGGAGAGATGTCATAGCGTTACCATAACGTTTTAGAGAGCTCGGAAACAACTCAAATTGAAGAAAAAGTTATTTTAAAAATTTTGAGATGCATCCGGTCCCTGGAAAATGTTTTCTTAAAAATCTACATGCAAAATGCTGAGACCTACTTCTTACGGAAAAAAACAGAAATGTAGCTCTCCACATTTTCATCACAGTTTTTCGAACGAACAGTTTCCAGGAGGCGGTCTCGAAATCTTTAAAACAATTTTTTCTTCAATTTGAGATGTTCCCGAGTTCTCTAGAACGTTTCGTAACGGAGCTATGATCAAAACAAAATGAGCAAAAAGGTAACGCTATGACATCTCTGCCATCGCAGTTACGTGGACAAACCGTAGAGCGTTTCACGGGCTACAACCTGATACACAGACATTTGCGAAAAAAGTGTAATAAGGTATCGAGAAAGTAGAAATATCTATCATCTGGAAAACCCTGAAAATCAAGTCCCGAATTCAATCAAGAAATTTTTACAAGTAGCTCCATCGTATAGAGCAACCATTTCTCAACAAAATGAGACGTATCCGAGCTCTGTGCGGCATGTTTGCATGAAACAGCATTTGATTTACGAAAGGCAGTAAGGGCGTGGCTTTGTGGTATGGGAGCTTTGTTTATTTCTGTAGTTCTTGTCGTTGATTTTTCCTTTTTAGTGGTTGTGCTCTTTGATGTGAGATTGCGGCGACTGCTGCGCTCCTCTTTTTTCTTTGTTTTTCATCGTTTGTTGTTTCGCTTCTCCGTGAGTTTGCGCTATTGCTCTCTTATTCGGTACAACCTTTGAACAGTCGTTCTTCTGAGGAACGGTGTACTTCTATAGAACGATGTCAATGGGGCTCATTCTACCACTAAATATTCGATCACTTCTCAAGATTAATCAAAATTTATTTCAAGAGTGGACATACAAGATATTGGCGCACTCAGCTATATAATTCGGCGTAGTTTGTTTGCTTCGTCGCTGAATTATAGATTGCAAAAACGCCTCCTAATTATGTGTTCTCGATCTGCACGTTCGTGTTCATCTTCTTTCTTTCCCTCATTTTCGCTTTCTGGGCGTACCATGGCTGCTGCGATCTAACTTTAGACTATGGACTGGGGAATAGAAAATTGAAAAAAGTCTAATAAATAGGAAACTAAAAAATAAGAGACTATATAAGTCTCGTGTGTGTGTGTGTGTTAGGAATACTAACTATCCCTCCAATCTAACTCAAAAGTACGAGTCGGGAAATCGAAATAACAAAAAATAAAAGAAAAATATTTGGTAGATGGAACCAAGGATGAAAACATTTATAGCCTTGAAAGATTGTTGTGAAGAAGTAGCGCGAATACTCTTATTCCGTGATGCTAAACACTCCGGAATCAGTTTCGACCCTTGGAATCCATATTCAGAATTCTATCCGGTTCCCGAAACTCGATCTTTCCAATTCACGGCCTGAGAATCACTAGGAGCTCGTGGAATTCCGGAATTACTATATATAGACTATCATTATGAGACATATAGTCCGTAGTATGTATGCAATTCTGCAGCGGTATTCTGGGAATTCCTAGATCTCTAGGAACTCCACGGAATTTCAGAAGTGCTATATATAGAGTATCATTATGAGAAATACAGTCCGCAGTATATATTCAATTCCGGGATCCAATTTCGACAATTAGGTCGATCAGGATTTCATGGGAATTTCGGAC